GGATGGCGTCGCAGGCTCCTTTGTTTTTTTTTTAAGAAGCCACATGGGCATAGACTTGCTCTTGTTTTTCGTCCGCCTCCTCTTCAAGGCTCCTTATCAACATCACGGAAGGGGGAAGAAAATGAGCACCTGACGAGGGAGAGAGGGGGAATCTCCCTCCTGGGATTGCACGGCATTCATCTTCATGAATCTGGCTTGGGAGTCCCCTCCCATTTTAAAGTGACAACCAGAAGGAGGTGATTTATTGAAAGTCTTGGGTGCAGGCAGGAAAAAGAAAAAGCTATGCTTTTATTCACACCAAAAATTGATGGGTGAGGAGTCCCTCGAACGTCGCACGTATTCGAGTATATCCTTGAATATAGCCAGCCAAGGAGGACATTAGTGCGTCCGATGGACCCCTCAAAATCCCGGACATATAATCTGAATCAGTATATGAGAATATGCAGTAAATAACCCCTCGTGCACCAGGCACGAGTATCCTAACGAGATTCAATAGTATTAGGTAAATGAGGCAGTTGCGAACGGGTCCTTCGTCCTTCGGGGCCTTCATGAAAGCCAGCCAAGAAAATAATCATCGGAAGGTCCCCGTACGATGGACCCGTTCGCAGGACACCTAATCAATATGCATGAACCAGAAAAAGCACTCTTATCACAGTGTAGTTACCTCGATTTGTAAGATTAAATCAACCGGAAAAAAAGAAAGAAAACTGAGATGCTTGGGTGCATTTGGTGTGGGACGCTAGGGAGACAGGTGACAGCAGTGCTAAGACCACAAAAAAATCCTAAGCGTGAGTCTTGATTTTTCCTTTTTCAGATTCCTTGAAAGCCAGCTCTCTCGTGCGCGGCGAATTCGTCTTTCAGAGAAGTCTTGGCGTTGACGCTGGTCTCCATGTAATTGTCGAGACGGGCTTCCACGTCTTGGAGTCGTTTGTCTTGCTTCTGGTAGAACTTGTTTTCCCCAGTGTCCACGTCCGGTTCCCCTGCTCCATGAGATTTCAAGTCATCGCTAGAAGAGGGAATGCGATCTTGTAAAACCAATACGGAGTTGGTACGTGTTTCAAATATGTCCCCGCCAAGACTGCAAAGAAAAGACGAAGCGACGCATTTGCCATGCAAAAGCCAGGGGAGGATTTTTCTGTCGAAGAGGGATCCCCAAACGAGACATTCTGGAAGTCCCACAGTAACAGGGGAATGAGGTGACAGCGAAGCTCAAGCTGTGGTTGCGATTCAAACAAGAAAAGTAAAAAGATTCTCGAAGGATCGTGCTGAAGCATACTTACGCAATGTTTGAGACATCCCACTTCATGAGGACCCCTTCTCCGTCGCCCGTGAACAGGTATCCATCGACAACGGCAAGGCACGTGATACCGACGTTGTGGCCTCGGAAAATCCTCCTCAAAGAGCCTGACTTCGCATCGTAGGCTCTCGCCAGCGTATCCCCGCACCCTGTTAGCACTGCGACGAAAGGTCCAGTCCGTCTTTATGGGAAATTACGTAATCCAAAATCTTGTGTACTCTTTTTTGATAGAGGTGTAACTACTGTATGTGCAAAGAAAAGTGTCACACGTGACATTTCGTGAAACCTCAAGTTTAAGTCACTTAGTGTAATTTTCAAATTCTGTCATAGAGTGGAACCTAATAACATAGTATTATGCTCATTCTATAGTTTGAATGAAAGCCTTTAATTAGTA